CAACATTGTCTTCTGTAAAATCGATATGTATTAGATCATTGTAGTTTTCTGTAGTTTTCTGTAGTTTTTGGCTAGGAAATACTGGGCATGATCCATTGCTGTTTACAAATACTAAGCCAAAGAATGTGTTAAAGATGTTGGCTTAATGGTGTCGTCGTTGCAGTCTTTACCATTAGGTAAACAAGGGATGTTGAATTTGAAGACAAAACTTTTTTGCCAGTTTCCTTACACTTGTCAATTCTAATCACTTTCTTTCCCCCCAGAAGCTAATTAATATTATTTCCTCTCCCCTAAGAAAAAGTTTCACAGTAAGATTTGACTATCACCTTTCTGGAACTATTTCTGATTTGATTTTTCTCTATTTTTCTTTCATGTTATTTTAACTGGAAAAATGCTGGGTGGGATGTAGAAAGATTTGACTGGCTGCTTATGTGCCATCAAATTATTGACGACTCTCAGAAACCACACAGATCACGGGTGTCAAACTCACAGCATCATGTTGCTGTTACGTGACATATTGTGACTTTTTCCCCTTCGCATTCCCTCCCCATTCCTTGGGGAGGCTTACTGCAAAATCCCACTTCCCCTTCCCATCCCACTAACCTGCTTTCCAGCTCCGTTCTCCTTTGCAGGGCAATAAAAGAAGACCCAGCCAAACAGCTGGGACTCGGGAGGCAGAGAATAGATGGGGGTGGGGCCAGTCAGAGGTGGTATTTGCTGGTTCTCCGAACTACTCAAAATTTCCACTACCGGTTCTCCAGAACTGGTCAGAACCTGCTGAATACCACCTCTGAACTGGCAGTTGGAACAGTTCTTTTCAGGTGGGGAGGGGGTGTAGACTCAGTGTGTGTTAGTTACTGTATAAGAAACACTAATGATCTGATGGACATTTCAAAAAATCCTTTCTTAGTGAGCACCTAGAAGCCAAGAGGAACATATGTGCCAAATTTCAAGTTTGTAGGCTTTACGGCTCTGGAGATTTCATGATGTGTGAGTGGTACTTGGCTTATATATATATATATATAGATTAAATGCTAAGAACGAACAGTTCTGGTCTTGTTTTAGTTATTATTTTTTCTTTTCCTCTCATTGAATAGAATAAAATAACAGAGTTGTGAAGGACCTTGGAGGTCTTCTAATCCAAGGTCAAGTAGGAGATCCTATACCGTTCTAGACATCTGGCTGTCCAATCCCTTCTTCAAAATGTCCAGTGAGGGAGCTCACATACAACTTCTGTAGGCCAGCTGTTCTACTGATTAGTTGTTCTCACTATCAGGAAATGTCTAGGTTAGATCTCTCCTTGATAGGTTTCTATTTGTTATTTCTTGTCCTGCTCTCAATTGCTTTGAAGAATAGGTTGACCCCCCCTTTTTTTCTCTGTGACAGGTTCTCAAATATTGGAAAACTGCTAGCATGCCACCCTTAGTCTTTTACTTTGTTTGTTATGCATACCCATTTTTAACCATTCATTGCGTGTTTTAGCCTCTGGTCCCCTAATTATCTTTGTTGCTCTTCTGTACACTCTAATTTCTAGAGTCTCAACATCTTTTCTTCTATCATGGTGACCAAAACTGGATGCAGTACTCCAAGTATAGTGTTATCAATACAGTACAAAACAGTACAAATACTTCACATGAACTTGCTACTATATCCCTCCTGCTTTTTTGGCAGCTGCAAGACACTGCTGGCTTATGTTTAAGTAGTTGTCCAGTAGGACTCCTAGAGCCTTCTTTGTGCTGTTTTTTTTATATTGTAAACTCAAAGACAGGAACATCTGAATGTTTCTGTTCTGTAAGCCATTCTGTAAGTTTTTCAAGCTAAAGAGTGATGTATAAATTATAAAAAAGCTACAATGGCTGATTATGAGATTTATATTTTAAAAATAGAAATTTTCAACAAGGAGACAGTTTACCTATTGTGCAAGAGCTCTCTTAAATCTTTTAAAGAAAATCCTTTGTTTCCTTTTCTCTCCACCCCATTTTTAAACCATTGTGACTGAATAAACCAAAGATTTCACCAATTGGCCTAATAAAAATATTAGTTTAATGTGTATTATGATCTGTTTTTTCTCTTTTCTGGTTTCCATTGCACCCTGACTCTCTGTTTCTGAGCAATCAGAAATAACCAGCTATTATTACTTAATCAGAATAATAATATTGTACAACTTTTAATATTTATCAGAACTCAATCCAATGACAATCAACTTCTGGGCTAATAGGGCTAATTATCTGGCCTTATTATCTGGTGTCCAGACATTTCATTAGCAACTGTGCCTGGGATTTTCAAAGGTAAACTGATCTGCCATCTAGTGGCCATGTTAAAAAAGTTCTCAAATACAAGAACTTGCATCACTTCAGCAGGAAGTAATAAGAGTTCTTGTATTTGAAACAAATCTAACTAATTGGAACATGTCATCAAAAATCTGGAAAGTCAGTTTATGTTTTGTTCATCCAGGTAAATTTGTAACTGGTCTAATCTGAAGAAGTTCCAAAGGAGCTATTTTTTATTGTCTGCTGTTTAATATTCTTTCAGGCAATGCTACTATAGATTTTATATGGTGTTAATTAATTAAGAATTATTTTACGTCAGCATGACATGCAGCTAGAAATCAGGCTTTATTAAGAGTTTATATTTTTCTTGTTAAAGTTTTTGGGATGTGCAGATTATTTGAAATTACTAGCAATTGTTTGTCTTTGAGTTGAATGTTATACCCATTATGTAGGTATATACATGTTTACCTACCACTGATTGTTCAAGTTGTTTTAGCTAGCAATATCTTTCATCTTCTTTTAGCTAAACATTAGTTTTCCAATATAAAATGTAACTATTGGCAAAGTCTTTTGAAAAGATTTCCTTAATATATATATAACAATCCCTCTTCAGTCAGCACTTTGGTTAAAAGGAAAATCACATCAAAACTGATTAACCTATTATCTAGTAGAAATCTGAGGCTAAGTTTCTCAATGAAGTAGTTGAATCCTGAATATATTATATATGTCAATAAAAGTTTTACAAAATATTTAAAAGTATACACCTAAATGTTTGGTAATGTGATACATAGGAGAACCAATGGCATTCAGGATCAGACATAATGGAAAGATATTTATGGATCTTTGGTGACCCATACAAACCTGAAAAGAAAATTTAATTCTAGTGGCCAATCAAAAAAGGAAAAAGACTTTCCTGGATTCTTTTGTCTATACTCCCATCCACCCACAGGCTTGGCTTGGCTTGGCTTGGCTTCTAATATCTGCTATTACTGCTGCTATGTGCAATTCAATGCAGTAACGGTACTAGACTACTAGTTCAGTTTTCCTTTTATCTTCCTTAAGGCTTCTGTTAGAGCTCATATTTGGGCTACAAAAATTCAGATAATGCTACATATGGTAGCTAGGTGATCTTAAAAATCCTAACTTTTTGCTGCCAGATAGAAATTGATGAGATTTTTGCATGCCTTGGATGTTAATCCTAATTCCGTACATGAGACAGAGGGAGAGAGCAGGATACTTTCATATATTGATGTTGCTGGCTTCATAATTGTGTGTCCCTTTTATATCAAAGAGTCAAAAAAAAAGACAAGCTTATTTTGTTAGCTGTTGATTGATTGGGTTAACTATGCTTCTATGATTTTATTGTATAACAGCTTGTAATTTCTGGTTGCTTTTGAAATTAGAACGTTTAAATTACCTTGTTATTGCCTTGTTGAAAGATATTCCTCCTTTTCTTTCACTAAATTCACTGTAGTAAAAAAGGTTTGTTTTGTTTACTTTAGGGCAATGAATAATCCAGCCATGTTAATCTTCAAATTGATTTATATCTTTCTTTGTTGTGGGAACCTATCCAACTGTACTTTTCCCCCCTTATGCCTTCAAGTTAATGTTGATTTCTGAAAACTGCTTGGATGAACCTCTGCAGTTTTCATGGCAAGGTTTCAGAAACGCTTTATTTTATTTATATATTTCTTTCTTCTTTTATTAAGAAAACTCAAGGTGGCAAACATTATCTAATATTTCTTCCTCCTCCTATTTTTTCCCACAACAGATGAGGTGAGTTGGGCTGAGAAAGAGTGACTGTTTCAAGGTCAACCAGCTGGCTTTTTAGCCTGATGCCTTAACCACTACATTAACAACTACATCAAGCTCTTTGTGGTTTATTAGTGTTATGATATACAGGCTGCAAAATACAAGCACTAAATAGCACACATTAGAATTTTCTGTATTTTGTTCCTGTCCTATAGTTGTCACCCAAATTGTTGCAGTTGAGATGAATCAAGGTTAAGATCATATTCATATCCTCTATTCTTATATCTGAACCTTGCAAGAATAGGGATTTGATATATATAACAAGTAGGAATTGAAACACATGGCCAAAGATAATCAAATCAAATGTTTATTGTCAATGTACAACAAGCGTACAATGAAACTGTAGGGGGCGTGCATAAGCGCACCAACGTGCCTACCGTCCCTGTCCTATTGTTTCTCTTATTCTTCTTTTATTTTTCTTATATGTACCCATTTCATGTATTCACAACTATGTATACACTTATACTTATTATCTTGTAAACAATTGGCAAATCAAATAAATAAAAATAAAATAAATAAATAAATTGAAAAGCTGGTAATTCTCGGGTTTAGTGTGCACCTATTTTTGACACTTTAAAAGAAGAAAAAATCGTGATGCAGCCTGACACAAGGTAGATCCTGAGTTAATAGATTACATGAGCGATACTACGGAAATAATAATAATAATAATAATAATAAAAACTTCTGAACTTTATACGGCATACAATGAGTGCACGGACCTAGCTAGGCCGCCAGGTGGCGGTACAACTGTTCAGAGGTCGCAACAGCCTGGGCGTAGCTTCTGTATGATGGGGGAGTCAACCCCGCCCAATTCCCCTCCTTCAAGATTGACGTGCCTCCAGTAGCAAGGCGGCCGCTCAGGTGTGGGCGTGGCTGCTGTGGAAACCTTCCCTCTCGCTTTTGCTGAGGCTGCCGGTGGTTGCGGTGACCGGTTCGATTTTACACCGCCCGTCTTTCCTGGTCGTCGAGAAGAGTGGCTGCCCGTCCCGCTGGCTTTCTGGCAGCGCCATGGCAGAGCTGGAGAGCCTGGAGTTCGGCAAAGCAGATTTCGTGCTTCTCGACACCGTGTCTATGCCGGAGTTCATGGCCAATCTCCGGTTGAGGTACAGAGTGGATGACGGGGGCGAGAAGCGGGGGGGGGGGAGAGTTGCCCCTTCCTGCCCCCCATTCCAGGGAGGAGCGGGCGGCAGTGGCAGGTGTTCCTCCCTTTGCTTTCGTCTCTCGTGGAAAGTGAATCGGTTTCATTTCCCATCGCCAGTTAAATGAACCCTACTAAAACGAATGTCCCCTAGCCAGGTGTGACTGGATTGGGAGAAACGCAAAGCAGGGAGAAAAGCTATTTATTATTTGGGTGGGAGATCATCATGAAATCCTACAGCTGCTAGGTAGACCAGGACATTAAGAACCCCAAAAAGGCAAACTACGTCTGTATTACTGCCAAAAAAAAAAATACCTGGATGTGGCTGGGAAATCATTGGTCATAAAGTTCAATCTAACTTTTTTTAAAGGTCTTAACTTAAACATTTGGACCCATGTGATCATTGTTTGTCATAAAAGTAATCTAGCTGAATCAAAAGCAGTGGGATTGCTTCTTGGGACTGTTAAATCCCAGCTGCTACAACTAATGATCAGGAATCCTGGAAATAGTTGTAATCTCTGAAGCAGCCTCCCTCAATTCGTTGCTTTCCAGAACTAGTTAAAGTTGGAGGAAAGGAGGGAGGGAGAGGAGGGTTATGGGTTTGGGAAGAAAGTTAGCATCATCCCTCATTTAAAAGAGTTGCAAGGGTTGAGAGAGAGTTGTTTACCTATGACTTCATTGGGAGCAGAGTTGAAAAATTTGAATTAAAGACTTCCTGATTCATGCCTTAGTTTTTATTCAGTGTGTTAAATCCACTTGGGGAGGTATTTATATCTTTACTAGATTGGGTTTGAATGTGGAAGCCTTGCTTTTAAACAGAGGATATTGACTAATATGGCTACTGTATATTACTCTATTAATTCTTGTAATAACATCACTCACAAAAAAATTTGTTGGCTCACTTTTATAATGTAATCTTCAAGCCTTCCAGAAGTCTATTCATAGAATGTAACTGGAATATCTGCTTTTTATAGGATTGAATTTTGGGGTTGAATCTTGAGTAGCACAACACCTTACCTCAGCTTGATATCTGCCTCAATAAAATCATTCAAATAATGGGTAAAATATCTACAGTGATTTTACTTCTTAGGAGTAGAAATAAGTTTTTATAGTATACACAGAGTCCATTAAGGGCAAGAGGGACGTTGATTTTTTTAATCCCATCATATATTAGAGTCATAAAATTGTCTAAAATTTTCATCTCCAACAGTTTACATAATCCAGATGGACATCACACAGGATAGGTAGATTGCAGAAAAGATCCCAAAGACACCGCCTCCCGTTAGCATGCAACTGTAAATTGGAAAATTAAAATAAATTGGAAAATTAAAATAAAGCCTATTTTTGTTATGAAATGTTTCTATAGAGCACATTTCTACATTTCTACATCTGACATTCTTGATGATTTCTGAGTTTGGAAACTGAATGTATAACCCAGTTTATAAACTGAGTGGGTGAAGAATCCCTGGCCTCCAAATGTTACAAAATGATAAACCAAAGAATGTGACCGTGCTAGCTGGGATTGTTGGGAACAATAGTTTAGCAATGTATGGGCAGCATAGGTTGCTTACTCCTGGTGAAAATCTGTTTGGTCTTCTGTTGATTTCAGTACAATTTTCAAAACAGTAACTTTGTTTTGGATGACATATGAATTCACTTTGATAAATAGCACACATTATAATCTTATTCCTCTTATGCCCTGTCTCATTACGGTTATGGTGCTTTTTTAATTATTTGCCTAAATTTAAGTATGTCACCTGGATATGGAATAGTCATTATGTGGCATGATTTAATGTTCATTCTGGAGGAACTCCATGTATATAATGGCACAAATTATTCAATTAATCAACACAGAATGAATGTTTGTGACATAAATATGCTTGGGTTATATAGGCCTTTAGCCTAATTTATATGAAGTAACCTACAGTTCAGATTTAATACATCTGTTTGCACCATTGTGTTGGTTTGTCTGGGATACGTGTGTTTCAGCTTGCTTTCAATAATCTCTCAACAATCTGTTTCCCATAGACACTACAAAACCAATGTCTTGTCTTTCAGAACCCTAGAAAACCATTTGAAATTCCAAGAGAAATTCTGTCTCTGAAGTCAAGCAAGTACTGTCTCTCTCATGGACCAGTTTGAAGGGGAGGACAAGCCATCCCTACCTACCCACCAGACTCAGCTATTGTGCTGCAAAGCTTTTATAGCTCCTCTTTGCTAGGCAGCTGAGCTGGCTGAGGAGAGGTCTTGAAGGGGCAGGGCACCATCAGCCCAGGTACAAGTTACTTTTAGGCAACCTGCCCTCTCACACTAGAATTGACCAGCACCTGAATAGAAAGCATTTTAATAATGATTGCAATTGCCAGTCCCAAATTCAGAAATCAAATCCACAGGAAGGCTAAAAAAAGCTTTTATTGAAATTAGCTACAATAATGGAATCCTGAAAGTCTGATTATGTTGTACCTCTTCCTTATTGTTCAGTAAATGGGAAGGTGTGCGTTTGAACTAGTTCTGTTATCTTGTTGTTCTGGAGTTTAAAAGTGTGTCAGATCTTTTTATTTAGACAACAGCTTCTGCATACAGATAGTCCTTGACTTACAACTCACAATTCATTAAGCAATTGTTGTAAGTTACAAGAACACTAAGAAAAGAGACTTAACAACCAGTCTTTGCACTTCAGACATTCCCATGGTCCATTATCACAATCTGGGCATTTGACAACCTGCTTGTAGTTACAATCGCAGCAGCATCCCAGGGTCATGTAATTGCCATTTATAATCTTCCCAGCCTTCTGACAAGCGAAGTCAGTGGGGGAAGCCAGATTCATTTCACAACTGCATGATTCACTTAACAACTGCAGTGGTTTGCTTAAGCATTATGGCCAAAAAGATTGTAAAATCAGGCATGACTCATTTAACAATCACTTTTTTTAGCAATGGAAATTCAATTGTGGTCATAAATCAAGAATTACCTGTATCTCTATCAAAAATTTTAAATGCTTAAAATGTAAACCTTTATTACCTGTTGTGCTTACACTACCTGACTTCTCCATGGCAAACAGTTGTGTTGGAGTTATTTCTTGACACAGTAGGTTAGATGAGAATAAAGACAAGATTTCTAGCAGCTTTAGTGCAACAGTATTTTCTTCTTCTTTTGCCTTAACAAAGAAAATACTGTTTTCCATAAGAAGGCCAGATCGTGAAGGTCTGTTAGTGATATTAGCTATGATAAATAGGTAAAGTCTTCCTGTTCAGAAACAAGACTGTTAGGTGCTAAAGGCCAAATGAAAGATCTATTTATTTCATATTTTATTTGAAAATTTTCTTGCTTAAAAATTAAAGCAGGTAACTGAACTCCCTTTCAGTTTACCCAGTATAGCCACATGGAAAGGACATGGTAATGTTGCAATCCAACATCAGGAATGACATGTCACTGATCCTGTCTTAAAGCCATATTTTATTCTTGTGCATAATAGTTGAATTCATGTACATCTGTAAATGTCACTGTATTGGCTACTTGTTCTTCCTACTTGTTATATTTCTAGGTAGTTTTAAATGAAAAGGCTGTTTTTATGGTGAGATTTGACAAGAGCTTATGTTAAAGAAAAGCGTAGGAAATTGCATTTTTAATCATATTTACTTAGCTAGCCTCTTGGTTGGAAGTAAAGTCTATTGGCAAAGTAAGTTCCTTGCTATTTCCTTGAAGGGTGTATTTCACTGAACGCTGCTAGGTCAACATTCAATGTGTGACTCAGAGATGGAAAGGAAAAGGCAACCTTTAAATAGAGCTCTTAACCAGGACAGTTGAGAATTGTATATCATCTTGGATTCTAGAGAGTTCAACAAAATAAATGAATAAAAGTGGATTAACACAAAAAGGTATCAGTAGAATAAATTGATGCATGACTATGAACACTAGGAAAAGTGAATTTCTGCAAGAATTGTCCAAAGTAGGTTTCCCTGTATTGATTTTATTGTGTATCATTCTTTCTACTGCCTCTAAGGTGAAACGGCACCTACTTTCATTGCCTCACTTAATTTGACTTGGGCCTGGGTTCCTGGGATTTTTGTCAAGGGATATCTGGAGGTTGGTTTGTTTATAGTTTTTGCTATTTTATCAATGGTTAAAGTAACAGCTATCACTTTCCCCAACTGCTAGTACAATAACTGTTGTCCTTCTACCCCAACTCACACATATGAACCTATGACCTAATATGATACTTCATTCAGGGCATTTAAGAAAATAGAAAATGGGGTTCAGCAACTGTTTTAGAGGCAAAATTGTGTTTGTGTTATCCCAAACAGTGTCATGGCCATTTAACAATGGGAGGGGAAAAAAGTATTGGGACTCAGGCAGCATACACATTTGATTTTTAAATGTAACTACTTGCTGCCACTATGAAACTAAAATCTCTCATTTTTTCTCTTACACCTGATTATTTAGCTAGAACTCAGTAGTAACCTTGGCATCTACAGTGCTGGTAGGACAGAACATAGCAACCTAACATCTATTCCATTTCCCCACCATGATTGTGGCTGTTATGTTTCAGAACTTTAAAATTGCTTTTATGCACAATGCAAATATACAACCACATCAGCACATAATTACTTTGATTGATCAGTGTTTGATTAAATTTGCTTTTACCTTTTAAAAAACAAAAATGAAGATCTGCCTAAAGCTTGTAGTTACAATCAAGTTTTCACAGTTTTTTTTTAAAAAAATACTGATTGTTGTCTATTTGCTTTTTAAAATGTGGAAAACATACTACTTTTGATGACCAGGTAAAATACTGGAAGAAAAATTATTTGTGATGCTGTTGCTTTTTTAACTGGAACCCCTGGAACATTAGCAGCTAAGTCTCCTGAAAACTGTTTTGTGCCTATGAGGAGAGAGATTTCTGAGGCAGCAAGGAGGGAATTCATTGTACTATTGCCAGTGAAAAGCCAAATTCACCACAAGAATGTC